CTGAGGGTTGCGATCCGTTGCCGGACACGGAAAAAGACAAAAAGGGAAAAAAAAAAAAAGACTTTATTAAATATAAAAAATCCTCACTAATAAAAAGGAAATGAACAGAAAACATAAAGCATTATTTAAAAAAAACCAAGCTATGTATCTATGCTTCAAATCTGAGAAGCCCAATTTAAATAAAGATTATCTTATAGAGTATAACATTTATCAAGATATCTAAATAATAGTAAGCAAATGTATTTTAATGAAACTCCAGAAGAATCTTTTTAAATGAATAGTTTTCAGTACAATGTTTTCCCATTGTCCTTATGTCTAATTTTCTGACATGACTAAAAAATAAGCAGCATGAGAATGAAGGGATAATGTTAAAAAAATCCTCATGTTTATTTATTTCAGAATCAGTACTTTATTTTTTATTTGATATTAAATTATCTTTATATACTAGGGTCTTTCACATTACATCTTCTATGCCTTTCATTATAAGCATTAGAAGCAGTGTTCTTTTTTTTTATTTGTTATGAATATTCTTGAGATACCAAGCTGATTGTCACCCCTCGTGCCCATGACGTGAGGGCCAGATTCACACTGGCAGCATACCCATTATCACAAACTGCATTTGCACCCCGTGTCCCCCACTCAACCATCCCCAACCTCCCTCCCCTTCCCCCTTTCCCCCACACTCCACTTTGTAGCCCAAGAAATGTTCTCTTCCTCAGAAGCAGTGTTCTTAAGGGTAGAAAAACCTTTTTTAGTTGGTATGTGATCCAGGGGGAAATTTGTTACTTCTCATCCTATCCTTTGAACTCCTGTTCTCAACTTTCACCCTTAAAGTAAAATTTTTCATGAAAATACTGAAACACCCTTGATGATAGCTTTCTCAATGAGACACCTTAATTTAAATAGACTTTTATTGAAGGCACTAGAATTGCAATGATTAAACCTCTGATTTTTTAAAATATGGCTTTCAGGGGTATGAGCCTAATCATTTAATCTCCCAAAACAGTTCTGCTGGAACTCCCTTGTGAAATGCCTCGTAAGTCATTTCTTTGTAGCTGGTTTTATCTTAAAACACAAGATTTAAAGTATCTGATGAATCCATAATTCTATTCTTTATTTAATCTGCTAGGCTCTATTTTTATCACACTAAAAAGATCCTGAAAAAGAGGTAGCCCACAGCCCCAAGCTTTATGCTGCACGGGGGGCCTTTGCACATGCCCCTTCCCCCAACGTAGCTTCCTTTCAACATCTGCACCTTCCATTTCTACTAAGTATTCCTCGCAGTTATGAAGAGGATAGCTAGAATAATCAAGATACAGTAATATTTCTGCATCCTATTTTTGAATATGTGTGTGTATTCAAAGTAGGTTCCCCAAATCTGGACCTTTGGTCTTCAGAATCCCAAGAGAGCTTCATTAGGTTCATCAGGAAAACTCCCATCTGAGCTTTTCAAGCAATCAAGGACATTTTCTGCAAAGCAATCGGGCCATTGTTCAGACAAACTAAGTCAAGTTTCCAGGGCATCAGGCCATTATGATTTTTTATGGACTGACACCTTTGAAAGAGGCATCAGGAAAATAAAGCATTGTCTGAGTTTCCTCCATTCATTCCTACATTCCCTGTGTAGGAGATTGTGTTAACCCTCACCACCACCACCCTCCTTTAGAAAAAGATATCTAAAGAAGGAGGCTCTACCACTTATCCAGTGTTCTCTACTCCTCACCATCAGAGAAGAATGATTCTTTTATCCTAGCCAAATCCCTCCTCCTATAATTTAAGTCTATGTCCTCCTGTTCGGAACAGCATGACTTCTCTATCCTAGTGCAATGGGCCTTCAGGGTCGAGAACATATTATTGACAATTCAATCAAATTCGGCAAATAGTCATTGAGTGCTGTATTCAATATGTCAATACTCAATACCACACGCAACTCAATTGCTGACGTCTCCTGTGAGGCTGGGCCCTTGGGCAGAGCTGAGACTTTGGGGAAGATGAGCAGTCAAGTCTGAGGCTCAGGCTATACTGCTGGGCATTTGGGGTTTCTAAGTTTCTTGCTGCTGAGTTTCTGCTGCTCATATTTCTATGACTGCCTTTTACATATCTTTCCAAGTACCTTCCTGGATCTACTCACTATTTCTCTAATTCCTACACTGGCTAAACTTCTTCACTGTCTCCCTCCCTTTCTGTGCCTGTGCTGGGAAATTTTTCAAGTTGTTGTTCATTGACTACTCTGGCTAAAATTCTCCAGAGCAAAGGAACTACATTTTCAATTGATGAGGCACAGCGTCCATCCTCACAATTGCAGGGTTGAAATTCCATCCACAGACTTGCAAGATGTATTGCTAACGCCCCTCATTTAGTCCCTTGTTTGTTGGGATCCCATCTCTGCACAAGGGGCCACTGATAAATTGCCCATGGTGGGGTGCCATCCCTAGCTTGTCCCAAGGTCCCCCCTGAGCTGTTTATAGACAGGTGGATGTTGCTGGGAGAGCCACATAAAGCAGGTGCGATGGAGGCATGAGTCCTCCTGGTGGTGGCAGTGGATGGAGAGCTGGCAGTGGGGCTCTCCATGGGGGTGAGGAGCATGTGTGTTGGCAGGAGAAGCAGCAGCAGAATTGGCAGCAGGAGAGGAGAATGGAAAGGGTGTGGGTTATAGTGCATTTCTAGCTTCTCTCCAAAGCTCATGAAAAGTTTCATCTCCCTCTGTGTCTAAGTAGGTCTTGCTAAGGGGGAGAGAAAGAGACAGATATCAAGATTCTTAGGGTCTCTGCAGACAAGAACCTTCCACTACTGAATACAAGCATTAGTTAGAAGTCCTGAAACTCCCTTCCCAATTAGCTCTGTGATGAATTGTGCAGTGTCAAGAGAGAAACTGTATTTAGCCTTGCTTGGCATGCAGGAGTTCCATGGTGGTATTTACAGGGAACACTCCTGGCGAGGTTGGCAATACTGCTACCACCATTAGCGTTTGTTTGCTTTTTCTCACTGGCACCTGCCATTACCCTGGCAGAAATACATTCCAGAATTTGGAATTTAAAGGAGAAGGTGGTTTACCTGTTACTCTGTGCTCTAAGTATATCCCTGCTCACCGCACAGGGTTACAAAACTTTAAACCCAGATTATACATTTGCCCAATGCCAGAATTTGGAATTTAAAGGAGAAGGTGGTTTACCTGTTACTCTGTGCTCTAAGTATATCCGTGCTCACCGCACAGGGTTACAAAACTTTAAGCCCAGATTATACATTTGCCCAATTCCCTGAAAGATAGATTTCCCTCTGTGTGCAGAATCAAGTATAAGGTGCT